AGATCCCAGACAGAAGAATAGAGAAGTCTCAGAGTTTCGGGAAAAACGCCTGTAGCTGCCAAACGCAGCAAAGTGAAACTTTTGCTTAGATCCCATCTTGTACAGGACACTTTGGACTATCTACCTACGAAGAAAATCAATAGATTTCCATGTAAAACTTTTGAACTATTAACTGGTTTTCCGAAGATCCTTTGGAAAGTCGACTTCGAAAATTTTTTCCGAATTCAGTTTTGCTTATGAAAAGACAGTCTCAAATCTTGGCTATGTAACGGTGAAAAGCGCAAGTCTCTATCTTTATTTGATGCTGAGTTATTCCAAAAATAGGTCATTTTTTACCCCTGTTGGGAGTACTAGGGTTAAAGATGCCATTGGTAGGGAAACTTCCAATATATGGCACTTCTACACATTAGGTCCTCGACTCAGAGATTCCAACTCGCTTCCTTAACGTATTTACTAGCTACTGAATTGACTGATTCTGCAAAACCTGAATGAAAAAATCTAGTGAGCTCCTATTCTGGTCATAAATTGCTTATAGTAGTTGAAAGTTACGGTCAAAAGCTCATCGCATCGAGAAGCAAAAATTTTTCGATGGAAACTAGTTCTTGTTATAGAAAATCGATTTGTTTTTGGTACCATTAATTAATGTTTTTGTCGTAAATGGACCCATAATTGATACTAACTTGTGCTTTTATTTTTGTCTGATAGATTAATAAATTCTCTATCGATCTGTAACATGATTTTCCAAAATCGTTGATTCCTTAATTATATTTTTTTAAAACACGAGCGCAATAAGGAACAAAATTTGGAAAATCTATAACTTTAAAAGTATGAGGTTTCTGTGCTTAATTGTTTGATAGCTGAATAGAGAATGAAATTCTCTACAAACGTGAGAAGGTTGCCAGGTTTTACGATCACTTACTAAAAATTTCTGAAACCGATTTTCAACAGGTCTTTAGAAAACCAGTTTGGATCTCTATCGGAGTTTATTTCGACATTTAGCTGCAGATACCAGTTCATTTATATTATCGCATATAGCTAATTCACTCAAAAGGTACTTTACGTTCTTCGTTTGTTTCTTGTGACTTTCATCGCCGACGGAATTTTGTTGACATTGAAATAACTGGGGTGTCAGGAGATTTCTGTTGACGCCAAAATTTTTTTCAAAAAATAGGTTTTGTAGGCACTGAAGTGAAGATGAAAGTGATAGATTCAGAACACTATTGCCGAGCATCAATGTTTTAGTAAAATATATGTGTCTGTTTGTAATTATTTAATTTGAAGTAAACAATGTCAATAGCTCGTAAAGAAATATTTCAGAGCATGCTCATAAGTTTCTCTATATTTGTCGATAAATGTCAGTTGTGGATTAGCTCGAATTGTTTCGCCAAAAAGTGAATCCAAAAGGTGCGCTCTCAAATTGTGAAATACTATGAAGACCCTCTTGGACCTTGAACCCATCGGATACAGACTGAAACCGGTCAAATCGGCCCTCATTCAATGCAGTTTTTTGGGCTCTGTCGACTGGTGGATCACTGACAGTCTTCGAACTTCATGGAGCGGCAGAAAATTGAAAATAGAAAAAAGACAATCTTGCGATCAACCCTTTGTGTAAAATATGTAACCCCCCCTTGCGGAAAGTTCCAAAAGTCGTCAAAATATAAAGGCAATCCTATTTTTCATTGTAGAATCTAAGGCGATCAAAATCAAATAACGTTTCTTGGCGGCCTGTGCACCCTATACTTAGACAGACTTTACGGATACTGTAGAAATTTGTTTACCTTCCGTTTTAAAAAATAAAAAATCTTAGAAAGTCAACTATTGTTTATATCGTCTATCATCTATGTCTAGCTTGCGCATCCGTATTTTCATTAATGCAAAAAAAGGAGGTTTCCTGGTTTTAGCGGACAAATATTTTTATCCACACTCCTAATTAATTTTCTTTGCAAAAATGTTTCACTATGGTGACTAGGAACACATTTATGAGTTCAAACTGCACATACCACCAAATCACGTGATCAGCCCGTTCCCAACTCCACTCTCTCGACTCATTCTTCACTACCGCGATCGCTATGATATCCCGCATGTCGCGACTCGATCGCGATGACATCTTAAACTCGTGGCGTGATCTTGAGGAAATCCTATTTTAGAAAAACTTTTTTTTAAGAGTGGCTGGGAGATATATAATCATGTCGCCATCGCTATACACCGCAGGGCTCTAAATTCTGCATCGATCCGATTCTTAAGAATTCTGTAAAAACTGGCGTCTTAGTCCGTTTTTTTTACAAATGCAACCCAACGCCATAGTTGTTTTTCTAGTTTCCACACATCTAAAAAGAAAACGTTTTGGAACGCGAAACTCAACATGGCATTTCGTCGCGTTCATTGCTATAACGGACTAAAACACCAGTTTTTATTTTTGGATTTCAACGCATTTCTAAAAGAACTCGGTTTTTCTCAGTTTTTTCACGAACGCGACGAAACGCCAATACTTCTTTAAAAGTTAGTTGAGCACTTTACATAACCTTGTAATATCTGATGCATTCTTGTATGGTCTTATGAAATATTTTAAGATTTTCCTCTTCTTACACGATCATACAAGATCGTGTTCGTTCGAAGTGGGATAATAGTATTTCTTTTTTTATAGCTTTCTTTGGGAAAATTTGTTCCTTTAGTCTCTTTCTTCGGAGAAGTTTTCATTTTCTTTAGAACCTTTCAAGTTGGGAGCCCTGTATTAATTTAACAAAACGGCTGACGCTTTTTTCTGTAACACTTAGTTCCAGTAAAGGAAAAAAATATCTCACGACAAATTGACTATAGAAAGGCCTAGCAGATTCTCTAAGCCCTGAGCAATCGCAGAAAACGAATTTTAATTAAATATGTCAACTGGAAAATTTTGATTAAAGAGGCATCTGTGGTCACCGATTAAGGAAATCCAACCACTTAAGAGACATAGCAGAATTCACCATAGAGGTTCAAGTAAGATGGCAAAGGGGAAATCTTACTATAACAACTAGGTGGTGACTATTTTTACTGACCGACTGACTTAACTGACCAAATTTGATTGGTCTATCCCATGGTGACACCAATCAAATTTGGTCAGTAAGGTCGTCGGTCAGTAAAAATAGTCACCACCTAACAACTAACCTTAAGATATTTTAAGGATTTTTCCGTAGAATTCGTGGATAATTAATGAAAACGGATTAAATTGCACCGTTTAAGGGATATGAATTATGATGGATTAAGATGTGACTCATATATGAATAAGATCGACTGAAAATACGTAAAATTGAGAAGAAAATAGTGTTTTAAGAATGAGATGTGCACTTTTCATATCTACCGTGCGTTCACTAGCTGACAGCAGTGCACCGCGACTATGATATTTCTTGTGTGTTTCTGATTGCAAAACTCGGTTAGTAACTTAATAAGATCAGGGATCTGCGGAAAAGTGATAGTTGCTCATCGAATATGCATGATGAAATGGAAGACTCTACTTCGCTTTTCAGATTGCTATCTATTTAGACTGTCCCATACCTCGTCGCTCAGCTAAAACAAATAAGTTTTCTGCCGCGCTCGCTTCTGTTTTGTTCTATTTGTTTAGACTGTCTCCTGGCGCCAACTATATAAACGACACATTTTCTTACGGTCAGGTCATAATTCAACTTTGTGATATATTTGTCTACGTATCTTTCACGATATCACACTATCTATTGCTGTTCTTACTCTGTCTCTTTCTTCGTCTCATGTGATTGGCCATGGTCGCCTTCAGTGTTTTACTTTGTTTAGTTTTTTTGTTGTACACGTTTGCGCAGATAACCAGCTAATACTTTTTTCCATGTCCCCCTGTTCCAGTATAAAGGAAGTATTTTTCTAGGACTGAGGATCAAGGCTCTGTTTGCTTCTGGATAATGATTGTTTGCGTTTCCCTGCTAAATTAGTTTACATTGTAAAAACTTTTAGAGCGAAAAATAAGCGCTAATTTCAGGGATGCTAAATTATTCGTTCTATACCAGTATTTGCACGGAAGCACAGCTTAAAATAGTCTTTGCAGTAAATTAATACACGGATTGCTTTAGCTAATTTTGAAGAAAGATGAGGAAAAGCCCAACGAAAATTAATGAAAAGGCGAAGAAATGCTAATATTCCAAAACTCAAAACAAAACCCAAAATTTTACAGTGACACTAACCTGAACTAGAGAAAAGTCTTGCTACCGAGAGTAAAAGCTTCAGTCTGCACGCCTCTGTCATACACCAAATAGGTCTTCCCTAGGTCTGTACGTTTTTGTTTTTTCAGTGAATTTTAGAATAACACCAGTTAAATGCTATAAACGATAAAAATAAAATGCTAAAAAGGACGATTTTCTCATTTGTCGTCATATTCACTTCGTTAATCATTACCAAAATTGGATCAGTGTCAAAATGCCGTAATCAACGACATAACCATGTTCATACCTGGCACACTATCTTTAGTCTAAATGGCACATGGTACGGTACACTGCATGTGATGACAGAAAATGAACATGGCATTCGTTTTATTGATGATACAACGAATCATTCTCGTATTCACAATCCGTTTAATGTCTCCGAATCATCACCGTTCAATTATGGTCTGATTATCAGCGATCAAGATGATTTTAATATGTTATACTCACTGACATTGAATCAACAACTAGTGCCCGATCCAACTCAATCGAACAGTCGAATTTGTGTGTATCTGATTGGTGCACAACGAGCGGCCTATCCAGAAATCATATCTGTCAGTTTTCATGGCAACACCAATTGTACGTGGAAAAGTGTTGAAGACAAAGGAGAAAACTTTTGGGTCCAATAAAGTTGATCCAACTCACACGATTGTACCCAGTGAATAAACCACTGGTGCAAGGGTACTTTCGAGCGTTCGATTTGAAAGACTAAATTGTTTAAACTGTATTATACAGAGTAAACTCGTTAATCTTCACATTGTACAGGTTTTTGATTGTTTCTCTACTTTTATAACTTTTTCTGTGTGTCTTTCTCAATATTCTTCCATTTGATCTTTTTGTAATCACTTATTTCTCGTCAAGTTTCTCCGCCGATCAAAGCTCAGAAATGTTTGTTATTATAATGCAATCAAACAAAGAAAATTTGCTCGTAAGCTTCGATTCCATGAGATAGAGTAACACAAAACATTGCACGGGATGCAATGCAAAAATATTTCCATTATGTTACGCTATTGGCTAACACAATTGAAGATCGATTGTCATGTTTGTTTTACAAATGATTTCAAATTGTTATCGCATGATTTAATTGCTCTACTAAATACTTTGACAAATGATACTGCATGTAGAAATAATAAGTCATAACAGATTATTAATGCGATGCGAAGCATAACCGCATTATAGCAATCATGTGCGCCTTTTTATCAGATCAGAAAGTGCCATTTTCAGTCACGATTTTTCGGACAGCTATAAGTACTGTTTCAAAATTCAAAAAATCTAAGGATATAAGCGTGATGTTCATTATAGTGTAATGTTACTTTCATAGCTGATCTCAAATGCAGTGTTACTTCATTATCTGTGTATGTGATTGCTATTATGAATGAGTCATTAGTATAGTACAACCTTTATTTGCACGATTGTATTGTAAATATGCAGTAAAACGTGTGATGCAAATGTTTCGCATCGCATTAGCAAGTCTCGCACATCTTGACTCCCATAATTAATGGGAGGCGGAGCCCCCTGGTTTTCTATATCACTTTGTTGTCTATGTCGACTTACATATATCGTGAGACGTTTGAACCTCCCAGACACGTTCTTCCTATTTCTTTTTTACTTTTAAAGTTTACGGAAATTTAAGAGTTCATTTTTTGAAAAGTTCACTGTTCATTAAAGAAGCATTTTCTAATGATAAGACGGGCACCGATCGATCAGGGAGATCGAACTGCGTATATGCTGAATTATTGTGAACTTTGACTGAAGTTCGGTTAACAAAAATTTTGTTTAATGTCGATTTTTCCGAAAACTAGTGTTTTTTTAAGAGTCTTGCCACTAATTGTGGTATAACGAAGCACGGTGGAGAATAACTTTTGCTGACAAAAGTCTTCCTTAGGTGCCAAATGGGGTACTGAGTGTAATACTTTTCTCAGTGTAGCGGAAAAAGTTTAATAGTTTAGAACTATTAAAAAACTTAAAATTCAGTTTTTCTCAAAATTTTTCTGTTACAGTGAAAAAAGTATTACGCTCAGTATCCCATTTGGTACCTAACAAAGACTTTTGTCAGCAAAGTTTTTCTCCATCATACTTCGTTAAGCCAAGTTTTCCAGAGGATCTCTGTAGTTCGCAGAAAATCAGAGAAATTTTAGGTTGAGTGGAATTATTACTAACATTTGATATCTTTAAATTAAAGTTAATGCATAAAATTGCTCCAGGACATGTACCGCCGTCCCTTTGTAAATATATTCAATATGCTGGAAATAATATGTATAGCACTCGATCAAATGATTTCAGTTTCAGCAAGAAAGAAATTTTTTCCATACAAAATTAAATTTTGGAAAACCTTACCTGTAAACACTAGGGCAATTTTTTATTGTACTACGTTTGGCAAGGAAGTTTTGCAACATTTTCAATTATCTCAAAGAGTTCGGGTACTCAAGGGAATCATTAGAATTGCGAAGAACGAAACAATGTATAACCAGGATGATATTGAAAAACAACGAACAAAAAAGAAATATGTCACCTTGGGAGAACAATGATCTTAATGATATAAATACAAATTTGTTTCCTACAATGTGACATGTTTCTTTTTTCTTCGTGGTTTTTCTGCTCTCTGATATGAATTTTTTTCTATTTTCTCTACATACAGAAATATATGGGTTATATATGAACGATCAGAACGAACTAAAGATGGGAAAGAAACGATACGAATCAAGCAAATAAGAAGATATCTCTTTTCACGTAAGATATCGCATGTGCGAACATTTTTTCATGTTAGTACGTCGATAGAAAAGAAAGAGAACAGAAGGATATGCATGTACGAAAAAAGATATCCCCTTATTTTCTAGTTCTCTAATAGCACTATTTCAAGTTGTGAACTGTGAAGGAAAGTGTGATAAGCATCTATCTACACCTGCTGGTAAAAACTTAAATTTTAGTGATTCATTCAACTTTAAACAGTTTGTCAAAGAGGCAACAAGAGTAAGTAGTGACGGACAAACAACAACACTATTTAATTTAGTTGTTACCAGTACAAATTCTACAAATAATTTGATCAATAAGATTGAAGTTAAAGGTTGTTTATACGTTAATTGTGACCATAAGATTCTTAAAGTTAAATTAATTTCAAACATTGTGCGTTCTTCACCTCTAACATCAGAAATTTATAATTATAAGGCTATTGACTGGGATTTCTTTCGTTTAGCTTTGGTTCAAATTCTAAATACAGCAATTATTTTCTCGATTCTTCCCAATTAGAGTCGAGTATTTTAAAAGCAATTGATTAGCGTGTTCCGGTTAAAATTATTCAGACCTTTTCAAACGATCAGCCGTGATCCACACAATATTTGCTTTTTTTGTACCGAAAGGAAAAACGTCTGTATAGAAAACGTAAAAAAGGGTACAATCCACTCTCTCTTAAGAACTAGACACATAGGTAGGGCAAAAATAAGAACGTTTGTCATTTATGATCCGCATCGGTTTGCTTATCATTTTTTGACAAAAGACAAAAAAGGTTACCTTTGTGCTACAAAACGTAAAAGGAATGTCGAGTTTGGTCCGCCAGTGTACAAAATAAGTAAACAAAAACGTACACTAATTGCTAAACTTTTTCTTAAAGTATTCGAAAGAGTGCAGCATTTTCTTGAACTGCTTGTGAACAGGCTCTTAGTTATGTTTAGATTTTACAAAGGCTTTGTTTTGAGTAAATGCTAAAACAGAAATCTAAAAGAGAAAAGTAAAAAACGAACAAGAAACTATAGTTTATGGGAAATAAAGGAATGAGAGTGATAGAATACTTCAACTGTTATGAAGAGAGAGGTTTTTTCACTCATTCGACTTATAGGAAAAGTGCTTGTGCCTCAGTATGCTTCAAAAATAAAGGACAGTAGAGTGAATTTTGTGAGCATGCTAAACAAAAACATTTATTGTCGTCTAAGGTTTCGATTAAGAGCTCAAATAAAAATAAAATGTCGCAATTGATATAAAGTGCAAGTAGTTTTTCGAGCATTTACACAAAAATTCAAAATGAACAGTGAAATTTGGATTTCTCTCGTTCAAACGATTCTCTCCTAGGGTGCTTGATACTTATATATGAGAGGCTCGAGAGGTAAGAGCTATTCTCAGGACTAAGTGTAAAGGCAGTGTCGAGACATATCCCGATCGGGATGTACTCCCAATCGGGATATATATCCCGATTGGGATATCATTTTTTGCAGCAAAATTTTTTTTATATCCCGAACGGGATATAGTTTGAAATTATATCCCGATTGGGATATCAAGAAAATCTATATCCCAGTCAGGATATAGATTTTAGAAACATTAACATGTTTCTCATCAAATCTAATTAGTTTAAAAGGAGTGTTACCGTGCCAGGCAATATGAGTA